TTCCAGGTGCTCCCAGCATATGGCACACGTGCTCTCCTCCGACAGAATGTCCATGCCAGAAATTTCTGGATACCTGTTGAGTTTAGTGTAGTCCAGTTAAATTATAGCTTGTTTCCATAATGGAAAATACATGAAAAAATATCAAGTTTGTAACAATAAAATTAAGTGATAGTCAAACACATGCTGTACTTTTTATGTCCATGCATGCTGATTTGCTGTACATATACTGGGAATAGCAATAATCACAAGAGTGCCAGGGCAAAATTAATTTTAACCATGAAAACTTTTCCACCAGCTAATAGAAATTCTAAGAACTCAAAATTACAGTTACATATCTCTTACAAAACTTGTTAAAGAGACAGTTTTCCTATAGCAACTCCTAAAAAAAATATAAATATATATATCACTGAACAAATAATCACCAAGATAAAAAAAAAATCAGAGAAATGGATAGTATTCAATAATTTGAGTGAAAAATATTCCTATCATTACATGAAAATTATGAGAAAAAAACTTTATAATATCTAACCTAATTACAGTAACTAATTCAAATGTTAAGAGTGACCTACAGTATCCTTATCACTTAACACACAGTTGTGGATAATCATCTGTTTCATAAACACAATCTCACGTACAATAAAATAACACACAGAACACAGAACGCACACACACATTGTCTCATACTTACACTCACTCGACACTCACACGAAATCACACACCCACACCCACCGACTCACCCACCCACACCCACATCCACACCCACACCCACACATTATTTCATGTTCAGATATTTACAAGTCTGTTGAAAAGTTTTATTGTGAGAGTTAATGCGCACCAATATTTAAACATGCTGCTAAAGATAAGGAGCTTTGGAAACACTGGATATGAATATTAATACAAACTGGGAGTTAAAGAAACATGTTTCTTTTTTTAACTGTTTATGCCGGGATGGCATGACACACGCTATATTTGCCATGATTTTAGTTTATCAAAAAGAGGATTCCTCAACTTCTTAGTCACCAAGGAATCAATTATTAGTCTTATCTATCTGACCTGTCTATCTTTTTCCTTGATTTTAGGTAAGCTTTTGTATATTTTAATTTCTAGTGTCATGAAAAAATTTGGCTTAAGGGGTGGGTGATGTGAACATGCCATCAGGGGAAAATCTAGCTGTGCGCTGGAGTGATGCCAACTTGCTGTCTTGAGCATTTCTGCTGAAGGTCAGGGTGACAGGAAAGCCTCGCCATGAATACTCAAACCTCTTCTGGGATGATTATACTCATTTGGCATTCAGGAGGGGGCTTTTGCATTATTCCCATCAATAAACGAATATGGAATGTTGTCTCCATGAGCCATGACTGGAAAAGCACCAGCTCTATGGAGGACACCATTTCCATGCTCAACATCCTATTCCTGGTCACTGTGACCAGTGGCACTGGTTATATTATAGAAAATTGAATATTATGAAAAAAAAAAAAAAAATGACACAAATAACAATATATTACTTATTATTATTCTTGCACTGTTATAGATTACCTAGAGAGACGATATGAAGTTTACAAACGAAAAACGGTCTATTACCATCTGGATAAAATAAATTAAGAACATTGTAGTAATCTTACTGTCAATAATAATAACAGTACAAATATCAATAACATGAGTATTTTTGCTTTAAAATGAAGGAATGGGAAATTCAGGTGAGGTGACATTAGCATACTACTTGACTCCTTGGTGACTAAGCAACAAAATTTGTAGCCGTGTACAACTAAATTCACAGTGGGCAGTACATATACCCGCATGCAAAGGGTTAAAAAGGAACCAGAGAGGTCTTTGATTTATCTAGTTTTGAATTGAGCTCCTATGATCTATTGATCCACAGAACTTATGTACAATTTTTTCATATCAATCACTTTCAGTTTAAAACTTTTCTTATTCTTTAAGCATGCATTTCAACTGAGATCTTGATGATGGTTAACTGCAGTACAGCCAAATGCAAAAAAAATTCTAGAAAAACAAAAACAATCTTCTAATTATCAACTTTACACTCAAAAATCACAGCCCTTCATAAACAATACCCAGTCTCTAATGCCAAGTGGACGAGTTATATAATATTCAGAACCAGGAAGACTTCTTCCAGTTACTCATGGAATCTTTAAATTTGACATATAATCTATCTACCTTTTTAAGTATTGGTAGATATAATATTCCTTACACTGAATTTTTTTTTCTTATTCTAACAGTCACATTCATCACATACCATAGTTCAATTCAACTTCTATCTAATTACCAATCATATCATCAAAACAACGCTCTAACGGATAATATACTTTTATTTCAAGGAAAGGTTTTGCAATTACCAAGCTCCCTCAGGCACAAAAGGCAGCTGAACCTCATATGCAACAGGTACACATCTCAGACACGCTAATCTTGAGAAAATTACTCACATGTTCATGAGCTGGAGCACCCTAAGGTAGTTCCTGTGAGACTTGACTTTGTGCTG